ATATATATATATCTCAAACAAAGTTCTACTTAAAGTGTTGTATCTGTTTCTTAATCTAACAAAAATTCTAACTCAAATACATTCAAAATCACCTGTACCCACAGTTCAATGTAGTCAATTAAATAATTAAGAAACCCCTCGAATGTTCATAATTCAGGAAAAAAAAAAACAACGGCAAATAGCTGTCAATACTTCTATGTATATTAAAGAAAGATTTAAGGCACCCAGAGATATTTGCCAATCTACCTTTAAAGTGACTGGACAAACACCAGGACTGTTTGGTTACTGCTCCTCAGCTTTCACCCTAATTCCAGATTCTGGACCCAAATCAGCACTTGAAATTTGAAAGAAACCCTTGATGTCAAGCCCTGCTTCTCTGCTGAGAGGATGTGAAATATTGCAGCATTTCACAGCACGTATCTCTACCGTAGGGTATATCACACTACACCTTAAGGGCACCAGGGGCAAGGAAATCCTCCTCCTCTCCTCCCCTCCCCACACCCCTTTCAAATTACTGGCAGGAGCAAATGCATCCTCTCTGGGGACTTCCACGAGTTCAGAGGGGTTTAGACTAGAGGGAACTCACCCTGCAATTACAGAGCTAATAGTGTTTCTCCTCTTTTGGAGGGCTTTTTCTTTTGTTTTTAAATGGTAGGACACAACCCTAGCCACAACCCCCTCTGCCCCAGCCAGCACCCAGGCAGTCATGAGCCTCAGAGCAGGAAGGACACTGTCTCCTGACACCGTGAGCTGAAGGGCTCTCTGCTCCATTCCTCCTTGTTCCTCTTGGCTGGAAACCACATCACTCCTGATGGCTCAAAACCTTGAAGGGTCCCATTGCTGAGCAATAACAAGGTCATGGTGGTGGCAGGGAGGGGAAGGAGAGCAGAAGGACTAATTTTCTGACTAACAAGCGTGTTCTTGTTAAGAACATCACAGAGCTGTCCTGGCTCCTGGTGTTTCACAGCAACAGGAGAAAGCAAAGCTGCAGAGCCTTGCTCCCGTGAAGCTTCCCTGGCTGCTACGTGGCAGAACTGAGGTGAGGAAGTTGGCATCTGCTCCATCTCTGCCCTTCCTGGCCTGCCTGAATAAGGGAGACGCTGCAAACCCCACTCCAATATCACTTTGTTCTGGCTACCTCTTGTGCTTTCCTCCAGCTCTGATTGATGCATTTAAGCAACAAAAACAATACCTAATGCTACAACTAATAATAGAAATTAGTAATAACTGGAAGAGTTATCAGGGAAAAAAAAGCACGTTCAGCCCAGTGAGGGGCTTGAGGCCATGACACCTAGAACCTAACCAACCGCCTGAACTCAAGCTGCAGTGTCTGCAACTTGTAGGAAACAACACCCACACAGACTTTTTTCCCCCAGCACACCCTCCAGCTGTGTGCCCACATTGGCTCAGTGATGTAACTGACCTTTCTGCAGGCTCAGCCGCCCTCACTGCCTGTCTTGCTGGCGAAGGAGCAAGGTGGCGTGATGGCTCACTGAGGGGGCTGGGAAGCAAGCTAAGGGACTAACGAGGAGCTGGTTTTGCCTCTCCTTCCCACTGCCTGTGAGCAGAAGGGAATGGCAAACCAACACAGTGGATGCCCAGAGGTAGCTCACACTGATGGCAGTATCTTGTCTTTAAGTCTCAACTCCCTCGAGCCCCCTGTGCCACCTGGCCCCACGTTGGTGTTTCTCAGGCACTTGTTAAGTGGAGCCCCCAAGGATGAGAAGATCTGCTCCTGTGGACACCCTCACTCCTCCCTACACCTGCAGGTGCTCCCTTGTCTTGTCCCTATGCTCAGCACAGGACATGGATCCGAAGGGCAGGCATGCATATCTGCCTGTCACCCAGCAGAGACCCTGTTCCTCCAGCACATATAAAGCAGCTTAACTCAGCAGTGGAGCTTTGGTTTACATCCTTCTCTCCCTCTCCATTTTGGCAAAGTCCTGTTTGCCAGCAAAAATCTCAGCGGTGGTGGTGAACAAAACCATTCTGGGCCAGTGCTGCCCCTCAGCAGCCAGTGGCACACCCCTCCATCTGTCCTCCTCCTCACTGTGGCTCTCCAAAAGGGCTGCAGAGCACAAAGACATGCTCTGCCTTCAGTCCCTGGTGGCACAGTGGGCAGTGCAGGGAGCGAGGCTGTGACACCAGAGGGAGTGGGAATTAAGGCCACCAGCACCCCCATTCCAGTGCCCACTGCTGCCACCACATCCCCCAGCCACTGATGAACCTGGCTGGAGCTCTGAGAGAGTCTAGGAGCTTGCCTCTCCCCAGCCAGACTGGCTATGTGGTGGGGAGTAGGGGAGATATCCAAGATTCCAAGAGATATCTTGGAAAGTGACAACTCTCTTTCTGATGGCAAGAGAAAGGGATGGGGCTGCTTTTCCCAGGCATAGCAGTTTAGCCATGTCACATCTGCCAGCAGCCCTTGAGAAAGGAGAAGTGACAGAGGCAGGAATTTTGGGGGGAAGGTGGTGGGGAGAGGGTCACTGACTTTGGATCAACTCTTCATCTGGCTGGTACAGGCTTCCCTTAACTCCATGGTACATAGCCAGCTGCAATGGGCCTTCCCAGGCCACTTCCTAACAGCTCCTCTGCCAGGGAGAGACTGGGACAATGTAAAGCAGGAGACAGGGTAGAGGGGGTGGAGAGAAAGAATGAAAAGGAAAAGGAGAGGAGGGAAAGGGTGGCCTTGCGTTACAAAGGCAGAGTCCTAGATCTTAAATACATTATGTAAAATACAGCATGGGAGGGGCGTTAAAACTCATTATCATTTTCTTAAGCAAACTGGTAGCATTATTCAGTAGTTAGTAAACAGAACATTAAACCTTTGTCCAGCGTGTTTGGAGGGGTCAGGAAGGGAGAAAGGGAGAAAAAAGGAGGAGGAGAGGTGTGGATGTGTGTGAAAGGGAGCAGGAACTCAGCCACTCTTGTGACTCCCATCTCCAGTCCGCATTTTCCGAGCCAGGATGGCCTCCTTGGACACCTTCTTGCGATCACTGGCCAGCCCCAGGAGGCACATGAGGTCGATGAAGGCTGTGGTTAAGTTGAAGCGCCAGCCAAACTCACTGGTGGAGTAGTCATAGGGGAAGGTGTGGTGGTAGTTGTGGAAGCCTTCTCCTGAAAAACACAACCAGAGAGATGATGTTGCAGAGCTCTAGGTGATGGACCCTTTATCCTGGCCCAAAGTACCACATTCCTGTAACAGCTCTGGATTGAGTCCACGCTCCTCTCTCCTCTCAGCCCAATTTCACCTTTCTACAATCTACCCCATCTCATCTGGGCATGGTCCAGACAGGGCTGGCCCAAATAAGGCAATGACAGTCACAGGACTTTTGGTGCTTTAGAGGAAAACGAGCATGTGACAAGGCACCAAGGAAGTCACTGAGAAAGGCCCTGGCTCTACGAGTGCACCAAAACACCAGGGGAATCCTAACAGCTTTTCCCCTGCCACCATAAAAAACCTTTTAGTATTGGTTCAGCTATCAGCTAGACCAGCAGCAAGTCCCCAACAAACCAGGCCAACCAATACTCCTACAACTGTGACAGTCCTAATGCCAAATCCAAAGGGCATTTCCAGATGGGAAAAATGCAGACATGCTTCTACTAGGCAATCTACCCTAGTCAGCCACCATCTGCTCTGGACACTGTCAACATTGGCTTCAGTGCTCACCCCTTCAAACACATTTCCTGGACTCCTGCTCCTACCCCCCAGAATCTCTAGTTCAAATCCCACCCTACTAAAAACCCACAAGCAGATCCTTCAGTAGTGGAAATCAGTGCAGCCCCAGTGACGTACAGTGATGCAAACCAGATGAGGATTTGGCTTGGGAGAACTGATAAGGGCAAATACTGATCCTGGGATGTACTTTCCTAGGCCCCCAAAATTTCAGTAAAACACATGAGGGAGTCTAGATTGTCTCAACCTCAAGTACCCCCAAAATCACCAGCTGCCCTGGGAACACGTCAAAACGTGCACCTGCTGTCTTTCAAGTTGACAAATCTCAGACAGATATGCAATAGCTGCAGAACACATTTTTCAGTCTGGTGAATGTGGCAGAAAGACCTTCAAGCAGGGTAAATAAAATATTAGTATAGAGATAAGGAGGTGCTAAGTGCAGCAGAGTCCTTTCCAGCCTGGAGAGAGTCTGGTGGGAGCTGATAACCCCACTGCCCTTATGTACTCACTGGCCAGCATGGGAAACACCCCCAGATGCAAAGGCTGGAAGGGAGGGGAAATGGGGACACCTGGATTCACAGAAATTCCTAGAAGCAGTTGCAGCCCCAAGGGGCAGTCCCTGCTCTACAGATCACCTGCAGCAAAAGACAGAGATGCTGAACATACCTATGGCCCCCAGGCTGACCAGGGGGTTCTCCCGTGGGTTGATGTTCTGATCATATGGCCGGTTGCCAAACATGTGAGCAGCACTGTTCACTAGCCAGGTGGCATTGAGCCCTATGGTGTAGCGCAGGATGGCTGGAATGAAGAAGCTGATGATGATGGATTCATCCCAGAAGTACCAGGGCACTACAGTTGGCAGTGTGAAGCACAGCAACACCACTGAGGGCTTGTAGTATCTGGAAAGGAAGGGACCAGAAGGAAGGTGTTGAGTGGCAGAGGCAGGACAAGAAGGGCTGATTCAGTCCTCCACTTGGAGGATTCATGTTCAGCTATACAGGGAAAATTAAGTGCAGAAATGCCTCACTCCTGAGCCCTGTCTTTTGTTAAACCACGACACCTGGACGTGCAGAAGATATGCCTGGAGACTCTCAAGTCCTATCACCAGGCAGGAGACTTAAACTAAATCCTGGTCTCTTCACACATAACAATGTCCCTATCACCATGAATCCAGACACCTGCTGCTGCTTTTAGCCTCATCTGTCGTTTGCTTCTCAGCTATGCTGGTCCCCAGAAAGGCAACCCCATGATTGTAAAGACCCAGAGAAGGTCCCTTCTCCAGCTCTGGCCCAGTCCTGCAACTCCTCTTTGCAGACTTGGCCCTGCCTACCAATAGACCCCACAACAACTGCAAACAAGGGGCACTTGCACCATCAAACAGATGAGCATGTGGGATCTCTCACACTAGAGGGGTAAGGGTAGAGGAAGTTGAACGACTCTGATGACCCACACGAAAAGTCATAGGCACAAAAAGGAGGGAAGCCCTAAACCTTGCTTGCTTTGTCTGGGACTGAACAAGGTACCTCCCAAGTTAGGCTGGTTACTATATGGGTTCAGTTCCACTGTCCCTGCAGCCCTGCTGACAGGCTCACCTCCTCTGGAGATCAGTCCCAGTATAGTCCTAGACAGCTAAGAGATATCCCATCCAAGAGGCACCCGTGAATCAAGACTGTCCTTCCCAGTTACTGCCCCTCTCACATCTCCATTTTCAACATTTCTTTCACCATACTGTTTCCAGAAGACTGATAGAAGAGGGGCAGAGACATGGCCTAGAAGGTATACCACATCATCTCCAAGGATGGCTTAGAGGCACCTGTGAGTGGGCTCTAGGCCAGCCAAAGCAGCAGCTGGGCCGTGGGGCAAGCAGGTGTGGAGGTGCTTTGAGATGGGAAGCTCAGGCTGCTGCTGGCAAGATGCTACAGGGTAGGCAGGCGAGGGAGAGGTGTGGGACAGCTAGAGGTAGCACTAACTTCTAAATACTTCCTATAGGAGAGGCACAGCTCATTTCTGACAGTTCATCTCACAGCAAAGCCTTGGGCAGGCTGAAGACTCACATTTCTCACATGATGCCCTCAATCCCCTAACATCAAAGGCGCTTGGGGTCCCCAGACCTGCTCCATCCCACATGGCTCTGCACTAGGGCTAACCCCACCACTCACCTGCGCTGGAACATCACCACTTTGTCAGCCTTTATGTCACTCAGGTCCAGCTTCTGACCCTTCTCGATGACGTCCGGGTGCTTGCGCACCAGCAGCCACCCGATGTGGGAGAAGAAAAAGCCTCTCATGGCGTTGTGAGGGTCTGCGTCTGTCTCGGAGAACTTGTGATGGACACGGTGGTCCCGAACCCACTCATAGATATCATTCTGCAAGGCAACAGGAGCAAAAACTTAGGGCCACGGCTAGAATGTTCCAGGGAGATGTTCCCTTCAAATTACAAAAGTGCCTGAAACATTTAGATGCCTAGATCCTATTGACTTGTATTCGCAGTAGTCATGTGATCTTGATATCATCTTCATTATATCAATTAAGTTGATAAGAGGACTGGAGCATCTCTCCTATGAGGACAGGCTGAGGAAGTTGGGGCTGTTCAGCCTGGAGTGAGAGACTGCATGGAGACCTCATAGCAGCTTTTCAATATCTGAAGGGGCCTACAAGGGAGCTGGAGAGGGACTCTTTTTTAGGAACTGCAGTGATGGGACAAGGGGTAACGGGTTCAAATTGAAGGAGGGGAAGTTTGAGTTAGATATTAGAAAAAGATTTTTTACTGTGAGGGTGATGAGACACTGGGACAGGTTGCCCAGGGAAGCAGTGGCTGCCCCACCCTGGCAGTGTTCAAAGCCAGGTTGGATGAAGCCTTGCTCCACCTGGTCTAGTGGGGAGGTGTCCTTGGCAGGGGGTTGAGACTAGATTATCTGTAAGGTCCATTCCAACCCCTAAAACTCTATGATTCTATGATCTTTCACTAGGGTTTCTGGCTTTTGAAACAAAGGTTGGGTGTTCTTTGCTCAACCACTTCACTTTTCTCTCAAGCCTGCTGCTGTGGTGGGCTGCCTCATCTCTGCTTTTTAGTTGGCTAACTTCAGGCTTTGGTTTGCACATCACCCACAGCATCACAGGCTCTGACTGGTCAGCCTGTTCCCCACCCCTGCAGCATCCAGGCCTCATTGGCTGCTCAGTGCTCCTCCCTCACATGCTCAGTGCTTGTTGTCTCTTGTCCCCATCCCTGCACAGTGCCAGCTGGGACTGATTGACCTGCCCCTTCCCTTCACCCTGACATTCTCCATAGGTCATCCTGCCTTGCTTTTCTTGGGGCTGCCAAATCAGATGTTTAACTTGGGGGAAAGGGTTTTTTAACCTTTTTTTCTCCATCAGAAATCAAACAGTTTTAAAATGAAGGAGAACAAACATATCATTTCAATGACATTTCTCAAAAATACCCACCCCCCCTTCAGCCCCATGGCTGTTCTGTTTAAGTAGCAAAATCAATACAGTTTGAAAAGTGTCAAAACTTTTATAATTTGTATTCAGAAATTATTGTTTTGGCCAGTTTTAAGAACAGATTTTAATAAGCCTGTAATCACTCCTTTGTATCAAGATTTCAATAAGCTTAAAGGCATGTATTACACCATCCTAGAAAACATGAAGTAGAGATCCAAGCATGCCTCTATTAGCTGTATTACACAAGAGGCGCCTTAATCTCCTATATACGTAGGACTTTTCCTGAAAACACTTTGAAGGTGGGGAAATGACATAACCATCCCTATTTCTTGCCTCGAAAGACTAAGGGACTTGTCCACACAGGGAGCCTGTAAGCAGAGACAACTCCTCAGGTCCCTCTCAGGTATTGTAACCACTCCTCCTTCAACTGAGATAAAATTATTTACCTGCAGGCCATGCAAGAAAGCAATGATAGACATGAGCCAGGATTAAACTCTCCCAAATACCAGGAGTCACTGCCTTTCTTCCAGCCAAATCCATCTCCAAGTATCACCAACCCTCACTGCTGTCAGCCAGGGCTTGGTCATTCAGTATTCCCCCTGAAGAGGGTGGCCCAGCTGGTCCTCCCTATCTAGTAAGCAGAGAAACTCAACTAGTAGGAAATGTTTCACCTGTGACCTGAAGTCTCTTTCACATTCCAGACCCTACACAGCATCATGTAATATGAGAAAGCCCAGCCTGGAAGTTAACAGCCAGCTTGGGTTTGCACATATGGGCAGGCTTTCCCTGTCTTGCTGGAGGCAGGAGGCAAAAATTTGGGAAGAGACCATGTACACAGCTGGAGTATTGTACCACCTCATCCACCACACCCTGTCTACAAACAGAAATCAGGAGTCTCAAAACAGAAAAATCAGTATTTTGATCCAAACTTTAGCACATTATCTTTTCTACAGATTTATTTTGGGGCCTCCTCTAACTGCAACCCTGACTGAAAATCATGACTTTCTGAGAATAGCAGGCAAAGCCTAGGAGAATGTCTGCTTCCTTGGGAGTTTCCAGCTACAGACTATAACCAGGAGAGCTTCTGCTGTGCCGCAGCTGCCAGGTCTCGTAGGTGGAAAATCCAACTGGAAGCAGAATTCCCAAACTGTCTGAAATCACAAGTTGCAGGTCTCTGAGCAGCCAACATGCATTTTCTGGAGGACCTCAGGTAAAGATAAAGACTTCCCTGACCTTAAAAGTTACCAATCTCCTCTGCTGCCACTTAAAGGAATGAGAAATTCAACACAAGCCTTCTCTTGATCTCACTGAAAGTAACTATTTAAAAAAATCCATGGGGAACGGTACTGAATTTTCAGTGAAACTTTGGATTAGTTCCTATTGAAGCTGAAATATCTGTCTGTCTCTAATCTTTGTCTATTCCTATCCCCTACAGCAATAGCTCAGCAAATTCTTTCCCCCTCTGCCCTATAACCCTGTGAAAGATGGTCTTTGTACAGGACTAGCCAATACACAGCAACCCATCCCGCTGCCTCCCTGAGTGTTGGACCATGAGCTGGAATCAGCAGCTTGGTCCTTCCTCTTCCTCATGAAAGACTCTGGTTTGGTACTAACAGACAAGAATAAAGTCAGTGGTGTTTTAGAAAGTTTTTCAAGGCTAAAAAAAAACCATCTCCACCCCATTCTGATTACATGTAAACAAAGTGATATCCTCTGGAAAATTACTTAAGGGCACAGCACTGATACTTCTCTATTCACCTTCTAGCAGAAAGTGCTGCACTCTGCCACCCTCTCGAGAACTTCCCACAGACAAGCAAGCCTTCAGTTCAGCTGGAGGATGAAATGTTGTTAGAGCTGCCTCAGAGCAGCAAACCTGAGAGACCATCAGGATTTTTTTGTGCCATGCCAATCTGGCTTTTCACTCTAACTTCTTCTAAAGGGCCATCTCTGCCACTTTCTACAGCCCTTAAGGACTTCCCATTTTGTTTGCTTTGTAGACTTCGAAGTGCTCTCACAGTGGTTAGGCAATATCCCGAGGTTAGTGCTCTCTGAGAGGGGAGGCCATCTCCCGAGGTGCTTATCAGCTGCCTGCAGTCACCTGAGCCACTCTGAATGGGCCCTACCCTTTTCTACTCAAAATATCACTAACCTGGGATGACTCTCTGGAAGTCAGTGGTGTGACTTACAACATCATTATTCCTAAATATCACTCTCTTAAACCAGAGAAACATCGCATTAACTGCATAATCTCAACAAGTTCTTGGTCCTTCTGCAGCAAAAAATCCTACAGCCTGGTTCTCCAAGCTTTGCAGGCATCTTCCCTCTTATCAGCCACACAGCAAAAGGAGAGTGAGGTAACACCAGGACACTTAACACTTCCACACCTCTTTCATGAGAGCTGGTGCAAGCACAGGGAGGCCCAGAGAAACATCGCATTAACTGCATAATCTCAACAAGTTCTTGGTCCTTCTGCAGCAAAAAATCCTACAGCCTGGTTCTCCAAGCTTTGCAGGCATCTTCCCTCTTATCAGCCACACAGCAAAAGGAGAGTGAGGTAACACCAGGACACTTAACACTTCCACACCTCTTTCATGAGAGCTGGTGCAAGCACAGGGAGGCAACACCTTGAGGGTACATTCCTTTCCTGCTTTGATGAGCTTTCCTACCCCTGGTCTGGGCCAATAGTTCTCTCTCCACTGTGTTCATATCAGAGTCAACCTCTTATGGGACAAGGTAAAGACAAAGAGATAGACTCTAGCACTGCAGTGTTAGATGAAAGGGGCAGGTTTTTTTCTAAAAAGAGGTAGTAGGAGAGAGGAAGCTCTTAATCAGCTTCAGCCCCATATCTGAGACAGGGATTCAGGGGAGCACTTCCTTCTGAGGACCAGTGGCACATTGAGGAGGTGCTTACCTGGAAAGCCATGGAGTTTGCAATAGTCAAGAAGATCCGCAGGGGCAGTGTGGCTTTGTAGGAGCGATGACTCCAGAGGCGGTGAGATCCAGCTGTTATGCCCAGAGCACTCACCAGGAAACACAGAACAGCTAGAGAGGAAAAGAAAGTGTAACAGTTAGAGCAAATCAGCCTCCAGCAAAGTTTCAGGCAGAGCAACACATAGGCAGTCCTTCCCCCAAAGCTGTATAAGCAAGAGAGGAATCCATGGAGAGCACAGATTGCAGCAATAAAATTCAGTGTGAGAGTGCTCAAGCTACCACAGGCATCCCAAGCAACGTAGGGCAAATAACTTCAGTTCTTCATCTCTGACAAGGAAGGAGGCTCCCCCTTAGAAGGCTTGTTTCTTTAGCATGGTGCCATCTGTCATAGTGCAGGATAGTCAAAACTGTATAAAGCGGGTGTTTCCGTAAAGCTCTGCAGTCCACCAGAGAACAGCTTCACCCTTTCCTCCTGCCCTGAATAATCCAGGCTCTTGCTTTCCTATCTCACCACTAAATCTCTTTTGAGTTCTTTTCACCTAGAAATAGAGGACAATCTTAGCATTCTCCAAGGGGACAGCTCAAACCCGGTATTAGATTTTTCTTCTGCTCCCTTTCTGAGCAGAAACTGGATAGAAAAAGATCTAACCTATCATCCTACTGAGGCCTGGACTTCACCTTCAGCTCCACCACTGACTTAAAATCTGCCCAGAGGCTCCCATTCCCAGGGTCTTTTTGATCCCCCACTCTGCTCAACTCCTGCACTTTTTACAGAAGCAAATTCCAAGGGCAACAACTCATTGCAAGTCATGCCCATGGCAGAGGCAGATGCTGCTGGACCCAGTTGAGCTTTGAGGCTGCTTCATGTGTTCCCTCCTCCATACAGGGCAGACAGAATTCCTTGCACCTCTGTCAGCTAGTGAAAAACCACATCCCTCTCCCAACACATCATGTGTTCATATCTGCCCTGGTCTGTGTGTTCCTGCTTGTCCTCCTGGGACCTCTGGAATTTAACCTCAGCTCAAGCATCTGATCCTAGAACTAAAATGAAGATCCTAATAAATTCATACACTAGAAAGCAGGGGTAAGAAGAAAGTTTGTGCTGAAAATCAACTCTTTCTCTAGGAAGGAAGAGTCAGGAAGTTTAGCAGAAAGAACTGGCATTGAACAGTCCATTTGCTCTGCAAGCTGACACAAAGAGGGAAGGTGCACATCTGTGAACAGGTCACCTGATCCACCTTCAGTCCCCTGAGGGAAGGGGCTGTCTTCTTACCAGTCCCCCAGGGGAAACTCTTTCTTTGGTAGAAATTTGCAGATTTCAGCCAATTGCATCAAACATGAAAAGAGCTCCTTATTCTTACATGGATAGGAATTGCTGGTATGCTTGACAATACCATTCAGCCCAGCCAAATGGCTCTAATCAAGCTTATCTTAACGCAGAAAACTAGATACTCTGCCAGAAACTTGCCTGGAAGCAGAGATCTAGGACATGTGCAAGGCACTGCCCTGTTCTTTCATTCAAAGTAATCCAGGCTTTATTTCCTATCATCTCCTGCTCACTCTTCCTTCTGTCACCTCCTTTTTGTTTTTCTACATTCCACACCTAATCTCTTATCAGCTAAAAGCCTGTCTTGACTGATTTAACATCCTTTTCTGGCCCCTTAAACTTGCATGAACCCTCATCACTCCCATCCTGCTGTATGAGTGACCCTTCCCCCATCTGCTGATCTGACCGTGGTGAAGCCCCATCTTCATCTTCTCCCCACCTGATACTGAATGCAGTGCAAGCCTTGGACCAGCACACCTCTGCCTTGTGCCTCCCAGCACCTCTGAGGTCCCTCAGAACAGCCAAGCATTCACTGGTCATGGCTGATTTATAGGGCATGGAGAGGGATGAACATGTATGCAAATGCAGCAGGATCTGGCCTTTGCAAGAGACAAAGCAGCTGAGCAAAGCTCACAAAGCTGTCCAAGCCTGGAGGGGGAGAAGGGAAGGACACTGGAGCAGGGCATTTGGTTCAGGTCACTCTTTGGCCTTCCTGGTGCTGGACACTTTGAAAGTCTCACCCAGTTCCATGATGCTGACTTGAAAGTTATGAACCAGCCCATGACCTGTTAATTTTGGATTTTAAGACTCATTCTAAATCAGTCACTATCCCCACAGATAACACCAGAGAGTCCACGATAAACAACAGCACCTGCAATG